GGCTCTATACCCGGGTCCTTCTATATTTAACACGAAATCTATGTCGAGCCTTCTCGATGTTTTTTATGGAAGATATTTATACAAAGAAGCAAGAGAAGGAATTGGCTATGGGATGTGAATCAAGGTTGCCTTCAATTACCGCAGACGTATGGCCCCCCTTCTCCGGCTGACCCAGGTCGCACGCGAGCGCATGGTGGGCGAATGCTCTCGCGGCATGCGACACCATCTGGATACGCCCCCTCTTTCGTTATCTAGCTGGCCTCTGATCGCAGCTCTCACGAACGTCAGAGCCACATAAAGGCGCCGTATTGAGCAGGCATGGGTAAGGTGCGAGACCTGTATCCGCCGGGGGTTGACATGCCAGTACGAAGCCGCCTACTCGCGAGGCAAAGTAGTCTCCCCACGCCCAGTTTACCCAGCAGCTGTGAATACTCAGCAGCCCACGTCGGCGCCAGTCTACCCTTATGCTATACTCAGTGTCGCACCAACTATGAATGTCGTCGGCGAGGAGACGGAACCTCCGCAAGAAGAGAGCGACATTCGGGTACCGAACTAAACTTCCTACTCAATCTTACTCCACACAAGGGCTATCAGAACGAGAAAAATTCTTATCTACAGCGGCCAGCGGCATCTCACTTTCCTCCGAACAAACACTGTACTGATTGGGCTCTATGTATCTGCCGCCAGAACACCCAGCCCGCCGAGAAACGCCTACATGCAGTGAAGCACTATGAAGCAATTTTACGGGCTTAGTCGTGCTCAGCATCACCGTTTCCTTACGTAGAGCCCGATTCACGCCGCATCTTGTCCTACCGTCAAGCTCTCGGCGTACCCTTTAGCCTTCTTGGATCCATCTGCTAGAGTCCATTTTGAATGGGTTGAAATGTGTCATGCTCCTTTCGGATCTGAGGACATGATGCGCAGAGGGTCAGCGGCGGCAATGTCAGCGCATTACAAAAGCCCGTCAGCCACACACTCAACGCTTGAATATTGTAAGACTCTTACCGCCTTTGAGACATTTGTCATGCACTGGTCGAAAGACCTTAGGTGATAAAGCCGCAATTCAAGTTGAACTCCATATCAGATCCACTTCAAATATGCAAATACAAGTTATCCTCAATCTAGAATATGAAATATCTCGGTCGCCGAAATGGGGCGCGAACGCCAAGTAAGTCGTGACACGAGATGACGGTATGAAGAAGGTGGAGGACGTAGACTCGTTGAAAGTAACAGGTAGTAAGCATACACAAACCCGACCCATACCTGAGTCGTGCGGTGTCATAGAACTAGTAAGATATCTAAGTGTACAGTCCCTTGCGTACATGTATAAACTCCAAACACACCCTATCGCTCGTACAGTCAAAAAGCAAGCGCTCTTTTGTAGGCTCATCAACGCCATTCTGTAAAACAATATCTTGCAAGCACATTACACCTAGCCACCACCTTCAGCGACGGCCTTAAGTAGCCCAACAATGTAATTCCTCAGAGTAAGATTATGACTGGCTGTAAAGGCAATCTGGTCTCGTAGAGGGGCGAAGATACGGGGCACCCATCCGGCGTTCTTCGCCTCTTCTTCCTCCTTCTCTTCGTTCTCTCGTCTTTGCTCCGCCGCCGCATCGCTGAGACGTGGCTTCTTGGCACCAGCTGTGGCTCGTCTCGCGGCTTCGGGACTACCTTCGCTGGCACTAAATGTCCGCTTGTGAACCGGAGATGATGGAGAAGTGACATCGATGACAGAAGTAGGTGGCGGGATCTTGTTGAGTTGGCGAGCGAGGTTACGAAGAACAAGAACGGCGGACAGAGGAAGACCAGCGGCGTCGTTGGTATCGTCAGTTGCGGTATTGTAGTAGCGGAAGTTGGGTGCTGCTTGCGCTCCTGCTGCATCGTCTCGACCTCCGCCATATCTACTTGCGGAACTGTTCGACGAACTTTGGTGTCGTCCGCCCATGCCCAAGCTGCCTAGCCCAGCAGGCTGTGCAAATTGAGGCTGGGAATTTTCATGCCGTCCTTGTGCAGATGAAGTCAAGGGCCGTGACTCCGAAGGCGTGCGGTTGTGTTTTGCATGTATGGCATGCTTGATGCTGGTATCAGGCAAATGCGTCTTGACATGCTGTCCAGCTTCGAACGCAGATTCTGTGCCGTCAGGCGAAAATCGTGTGCAGCCACCCCAGTGACAGTAGTATTTTGTCGCCGCGGTGGCAGAACCGTTTTCGATCTCCATAATGTCCTTGATGTCTAGCTTGGGCTCAAGCAACCACTGTCCGGTCTCCTGGTCGCGAGGAACTTGGAGATGGACACTTACAACGTGTTCCCACATGGAGCGCGCACCAGAAGCGAACTCGCCGCACTCGATGTTCGCAGTCGAATGTTTCGAGTCGGCATGTCCGTTGAGCAGGCTCGGCGGATGCCAGCAGCACCGCATGTACGGCCTCTTGGTGCTTGGGTCGACTGGTACGGATCGTGGCCGTATACCTCTTATGGTATACTTTGGCTGCCCACCCACGGTCAACACCTGAGCGGAAGCACCGCCAAACGTTGTTGAGACGTTGGTGATGAAGTCCTTTGCTGGCATAAGCGCTTTGAAGTTGGCTGGGTTGTTCGTCATGTGCTCCGAGAAGGCGGCGTTGTATGCTGACCACAACTGGATCTGTGTGATCTCGCCTGTTGTATCCTCTTCGAAACAAGTCTTCAGCCACTGTGAACTCCGTTCTGGCTCATCAAGAGTCACTAGGTGATCTATGATAGCAGACGACAGCTTCGGCGCATTCTCTGGTGGCGCGGAGGTCTTCGCAGTCTTCGCAGTACTTCTTCGTTCCTCGTAGGCTACCGCACCGTACTGTAGTAGGCGGACTAGCTGCTTTATCACGCCTTCAATGTCAACTTCGTGTACAAGCTTCTCGACGTTATCAGGAAATCCAGTGAATAGATAGAGGAAGTCCAGGCATGCTATGCGGAGGTCTTCGTCTTCTACCAACAGCCAGTCACATATCGACTTGAGAGTCTTGATTGGCACGTCCGAAAGCTTGTTGGTAGCCTCCAGGTTCATTGCTATCCGCGCAAGTGCTCTCAACGATGTGATGATGCGGCCACGGTCGTCTGAGTCGACTTGGGCCAGCAAAGAGCGGTAGAGCGGGCTTTGCGAGTCCAATATCCAATACTTGGTCAGCTGCTCGGCGATCTCCAGGGCGTAGTGTTGCAGCTCCACAATAGTAGAGTGGTGTGGTAGATTGAGTGCGATGGTAATCATGTCTTGGATGGTTGGCACAGAGGCAGCGAAAATGGCATTCTCCTTCAGCATCACCATGTTCCTGATAATCAGCGCAGCCTCGTTGATCATGTTGAGGGCCTTTGCGGACTGCTCCGGCAGGAGGTTATCTTGCATGTCGAGCATGCGGAGAGACTTGATGCGCTGTAGTAGGTCGCGGGTACCAGAAAGTCCGTTCAGTGTTTGCGGCTGATTGAATTCCTCCTCGACATAGGATATGTCCCAGTTCACGTCATAGAACAATGCGGAGACATCGATGACCTTGGCAATGAGCGCCTCTGCGAGCCCCGGGAACTGGTCGAAGCGATACTTGTCCCCTCGCTCGTGCGAGATCTTGACCAGGTGGTGTAGCGCGTATGCCTCCTCCTCCGGCTCCTTGGAACGCAGCGCATTCAGAGCACGAATGTAGATGCTGGGTCCCGGGAACCCGGTACCAGGCAGCATCATGCCCTTGAGCGGCACTGGCCTGTTCTTCTTGTTGAGGATGTACTTCTTGCGCGACTGTATGTACGTATCGAGGGAGTTTGACGGAGTAACGACGGGCTTCATGGTGGCTGGTACGGCGGTTCGCGGCTCGTAGTTCGCGATCGTCATGGCTGCTCCACTGGTGCCATAACCATTTGCTTGTGACGAGGTCAGATGGCCTGTCGACTGGCGCGTCTGTCGCGTTGAAGACTCGGGCTGGAAGAGTACGCGCTGCGGCGGTGCATGGCGGAGGGACCTTGTCGACCGACCAACGCTACCAGGGTCATCCACATCCATCTTGTCGTCTTTTGGTGTCTTTTCGACGTCGTCTTCGTCTTCCGAGTCTTCGTCTCCTCTTAATTGCTCTGCCTCTCGGCTGCTGGGTGGGAAGAAGTTGTCGACGGTTCGGTTTAGGAGGTCTCCGCCCTTGGCAGATACGTTCTCGAGGATCTCGGGCGGCGGCGGTTCGCGCTTGTGGACGGTAGATATCTCGTAGGCGCTAAAGCAAGCATTAACAGGTGTCAGGCGCAACGGATTCTTTCACCATTCACATACGCAAGGTTCTTGTAGTAGGCTGTCTTCACCAAAAAGGCCTGGGTTGTGATGCTGGGGCTCTTGGGAAGGAACTCGGTCGCGATTTTGCGCCACGCAAGCTTGTTGTTTTTGGTATCTGAAACCCTATCGTAGCCTCCCTCCTCATTGACGCGTTTGTAGAGCCGCAAAAGGTCGATGTGTCGGCTCCCGACCTTGGGTTCACGGTCCAGAACAGTGCTACACGTCGGGTCAATATGCGCTCATTGCGGTGCCACAAGCAAGAAAACCCACCCGCGCTTTTCGTGGTATTCGGCCAAAGTGTTTAGGAAGTCTTCATATTCTTGGGTGCGCTCGACGGATGATTCCTCCGGTCTGTTTGGGGCCATGTTGCGGCTGTCGCATTCACTCGGGGCTACTCGGAAACGGATCGCGACGCATGCGTGATTTCAGCTGTGTGCCTGGCACAATGGTGGATTTGCTTGTGAATGCGCGGCGCGCGTCGGTCGCGATGATGGATGGGCGAACACCAGAACTCCAGAATGCACCAAGTCCCTCGCGTTGACCCGCACGGGCCACATCATGTGACTGGCCTGGCCGGTTGCAACTTCCCCAGGTCTCATCCGACCGTCTCTCACATTCCTCCAGCATTACGCGAGTGTCTTCGACACGACACAGCTCGTCCACCGCTAGATGAAGCTGATTGATCTCGACTAACAGATAACCAGCACTAACCACGATGCTCTCACTTCCGCTCGCGACCCTGTCAACGGCCCGGGACACCGACGCCAGTGAGCAACAGTTCATCTGGCAAAAAGAGACGAGGGATCTCACACTCGTTGTCGACAGCTACGGTTCACGCGATGGCCTCCAGCTTATGAAAGTGGTTCAAGGCTCACAGATTCGGGTACGGTGCATGCACAACTGATGCCTCACCGACTCGAGCTGATAAACTGCTGCAAATGACGTGCTGGCTAACCGATCTTTCACAGCAAACTATCGAGATTGAGAGACTGATCAACGAGGGAAACAATATGACTCGTCTGTATCAAGAACGTGGGGTGCAGATACAGACCGACCAGCTCCCCATTACTGCCATTGTACGCTCCCCTCTGCTGGCCATACGATGGCAGCTGGCCAACAACAAGCTCCGGCGTGTCCAAATGAGGTTCAAGTCAGACAGGGACTTCGACACTGTATCTAACTACCTCCTTCAACTCGGCCTGCACATGAGTGGAACGAAAGGAGCTCTGTCCAAGCCGAAGCTAACAGCTCCCTTACCATCGCCAGCACAAGCATCACCCTCCAGACCGAGTCCGAAAGCTATTGCGTGTCCTGAGGAGCCTTCTAACAGATCTCCCGCAGGCAGACTGTCGTGTCCTCCATCGCGGCTAGCAGAGATCTCAAGCCGTCCCTATACTAGCCACAGTGCCTCCTCCAACACAGCTTCCCAGCTACAAGGAGGGACATTCCCTCGTCCAGTATCTGCCACTCCAGCATACGCTAGAGAATATGTAGGCATGTCGGCCTCCTTATCAGGCCCTCTTGCTCCTCCTGTATTGTTCGCCCGGCCTACCTCAGCTACCTCAGATATCTTAGGGCGTTCACATCTTGACACCTCGCCTGCATCAGATCAGCAAATGTCCGCCGTCGAAGGGACCCCTTATTTGTCTACTGAGCGACCAGATACTGCTATGCTCTTCAACCGCCCTAGCAGCGCCAATCGCCCTGACAGTGCCAACCGTCCCGGCACTGCTAATCGTCCCGATAGCGCTGAGACACCACCGCCTAGACGTGAGCTCCCGTTTCCCCGTCTGTCGTCACCTCGCTCCTCGGGCAGTGACAGTGTGCGACCATCCACTGGTACGATGGGACCGCCTCCTCTACCGTCTCGCGCAGCCAGTGGCCGACCCAGTTCCAGCCGAAGCGCAATGAGCAAGGAGATTGAACTTCCCCCCTTACCTCAGCCAACTGTTGTCAGCAAGACCGTACGTGGAGACAAAGCAATGCAGCAGCCTCGTACACCAAACCAAGATCACTTTAGTCCTCTGCGCGCGAAGACGTCTCCGCACGAAAGTGTCGAGAATCGGTCGCCTTTGACCTCGTCTCCCATGTCTTCTCCGCTGTCATTCAAAAAGCTGAGCTCGACTACTCTACCAACTCCGCTCGGTACGCTCAGCAATGCTGCTCAGAATACTCACCATACTATAATTCAGAGTGCTCCGATTACACCACCTAAATCTGTCACTGGCCGTCGTAGTGGAACAAACGAGACCGATGGTCTGGCAGCGTATGCAATGCAGTCTGACGAGGAACGTAGAGCAGTGCTCAATGAGTTCGTCTTCCGCCAACTAGAGAGCGACGACTTCCTTACTCTCGTTCAAGACATGGAGACAGCATGGGCCAGGGTCGCAATGGGTATGTAATGAAAGGTCTTTTGACCGGCCGGGTATCTGCGATGGAGTACGTGTAGGGACAACCTCGCTGGGGCTTCGGCAGAGGACATGAGGCGGACTGAAAAGATTTTCAAGTACACTAATCTAGCAGAATGGACACTTCCGAAGTTTTCTAGTACCGAGAACAAAAATCGACCAATAACATCCTTATTATGGTGAGATGGCCGAGTTGGTTATGGCGCCAGGTTAAGGTTACCTTAACACATATTCCTGGTCACGAAAGTGGCGTGGGTTCGAGTCCCACTCTCATCAGCATTCGTCTGGCTTCAGTCAGATACCCCAGGTTCTTTTTTTTTTCGCAAAGTAACGATTCTGATGCCGAGATTTGTGCCATAGACCACAATCGGAACTTAGCATCGACTGGTGGGGGCTCATTCGATGACTAAGATGCAAAGGGCAGTGTAAAAGCGATATAAACTTTTGGCACTTGTTGCCTGAATATTTTTTGATAGGCTACAGATAGGGCGTTGAGTTACACTCAATCAATCATAGTACCGAGAAGGATGAACGAGCAGCATCGTGGCTCTGCTACTTCAACTTCAGTGCCTACTTCCCTGTTCACCAACAACATAACCCTTTGCAATCCCACTTCTACCCTCTTCCATCTTAGCCGCCCTCGCACCACCAGTACCGTTTTCTCCATCTTCGGTGTCTCGGTAGTCGGTGCCCAGACCCTGCCACGTCCTGTTTGAGCGCAGGTACTCAGCGCCCGGTGAAGCCACACCTCCCACTGCCGCGATATCGCCATTCGCTCGTTTGGTCAATGCCGAACTAGACGACGCCGCATTACCATTGACAGCCTTCGGAGTGGCTGTCGAGCGCATGGGTCTCGCATGAGACACATAACGACCAGTCCTAAGATCAAACTCAGGAGGCGCAGACTCCTCTTCGGAATCGTAATCTCCATTCGCATCTGCGTCTTCTTCCTGCTCCTGCCCAATACCCGTTCCCTCTGCACTACCATCGGCCTTCTTCCCCTCATCCTTGACCTCTTCATCAAGTACCTTTTGGAAATCGCCCTCCCAGGCCCCCGTCCACACTCTCTCCTCGTCACCTTGCAACGCCACCTTGAGTTCCCACGGCGTTATCATGGGCCGCCAGAACTCTCTGCTCTCAATCAAACTACTCTCCCAGCAGCCGATTACGACCCAGCCGCCCACTTCACTGAAGTTGGCTACCTTGGCCGCATTGACTTTACCTACGACGAAGGTGTAGTATTTCTTGCCCGCTGCAGTGATTTGCCGTTGCACGTGCGAGAGGATATGCATGTAGTTCTTTACGGAGAGGGTATTTATCAGGATACCGAAGATGGGAGTGGTGGAGAGAGAAGTGAGGAGGGCGTAGCGGCGGCGGAGGGCCATTGCGGTGTTTGTGAGCGAGGCGGTGGGTGCCACGGAAGAGGTGCTTTCGGTGGGATAGATGTGTATCGAGGCGACGCGCGAGGAGAGGGTAAGGAGGAGGGAGGTTGGTGGGTCGGAGATGTGAAATAGCGCATAGTCGCGGAGGGCCTCGTCTGTTTCTGAAGTTCCGGGTGGTGTTGTTCGGTTTGGGAGCGGCGAGGAAGGGTTATGGACAATTTCAGTAGCGTGCAGACTCGTGTAGCCGTCGTCGCATAAGCGTTTGTGGAGGATGGGGACGTGGTGTGAGTACGGTATGTCGGCCATGAGTATGATCTTTGCCTCCTTATCCGGGTATGTCTCTTTGAACGTCGCAACTACTGGATCGAGATCGAGCGGTCGTTCCGTAAACACGTACACGACTGGTAGCCTTGAAGGAGGCGATAGACACGAGCGGCCATAGTGTACCACAACGTCCGCATCAACGTGCTCTGCAGCAACCTCGTCGACGCAGCACGCACCGTACGACGTGTCGCCGAGTATGAACAGACTCTCCTGGCTACTCTCTTCCTCAGATATCGAAGTCTTGCCCATGTCTGTGCTGAGGTCTTCTGCTACAGTCGCACCATTTACAGGTCCATTTGTTTCTTGCTTTCCATTCTGCGCCTTCCTCTCCTTGCTCAACCCCCGACTCAGCTGATCATATACTCTCGGTGCATCTGTGAGCATGTGATCGGGGAACTGCAGCGCGATCCTCTTCCATCGTCCCTCCCGTATCTCCCTGACCGTCCGCTCGATTTCGTACGTGAGCGTAATCTGATCATCCGAAAGTCTGGGGAGACTAGACGTGTCTACCGCGGGTGTGGGGTCTTCGAAGATGTGTGTATCGGGGGTAGAGAGTACGGGCGCGGTCTCAAGGGAAGGGACAGCCATTGTGTATGTTGATCGTTTGTGGGCTGGTTGCGTGCATAAGGCGTGGCGGGGTCGTCACTTTTTTTGACGGCGGGGCACACGCCTCGGTCGCGCAGGGGTCCAGCGACAGGGAACTAGAGAGCCGCAATGCATGGTATGATAATGCAACACATCTGATAGGCGAGGAGCAGTCGAAAGATCGTCGTACGTGTAATGATTTGATTACTATATACAAACGAGAGGTGGTATCATTTTGTACCCGCGCCGAATCCAATCCCTAAGACAAGAAAAAAAACTAGAATATAAATCACATCATCAGGAATCCCGACACTGCTGCTACCATCGCAAGGCCGAGTACGTTGGGTACGAACTTTCCGACACCGCTGTCCTTGTCGGTAGCGGCAAGCTGACTAAGGATCATCGAAGGGGTGTAGTTCTGCGCCTTGTCAACGGTGGTACCGTTCCAGCAGTAATCAGTGAAGCACTGCTGGCACACTTGTGGGATAGCCTCGCCGTTACGCTCCAAACTCCTAGAGAGGATAGCGCATCCGACGCAAGTAGGCCAGTTCGAAGCACCCTCACGCGTTGAGTTGCCCTGGGTGATGACATCATAACCGTTCTCGATCATGCCGTTGCGCTCGTCGATGGTGTAGTCGAGCTTGCCGAAAGTCGACTGGTTGGACCAGAAGACGTAAGGAGCGTTGGGAAGGTAAACAACCAGAGGAGGAATGTTGTCACCAGTGGTAACGTTGCTGCTGTTGCAACCAAAGAATGCTGGGCGGCTGTTCATGCCCAGAGCAACAAATGTATCCTGACCAGGGATGTAGGGGAACGACGTCCTGTTCATGAGGGTTCCGCTTGCACGCTCATATGTTGCTACCAGAGAAGTGCCGTTGGGCCAGTTTTGCGATGGGTCGTCCGCGTCGACAGTGTCAGCAGAAGAGTCAACAGCAAAGATGACGTCGACCTGGCGGATCGGCTGAATGACCGGGTTGAAGGGGATGTTCTGACCATCCTCGCCACCGTCAACGAGAGTCAGACGCTCCCTATCAGCACTGGGGTTCGTCTCGTTGTGGTAGTGGTAGAAAGGGTTGGGTGAATAGTCGGCGATATCGTCACCATCCTTGCCGATATCCTGGAGGATGTTTGAAACAAAATTCAAAAGAATCTCGGGAATGTTCTGGAAGGAGTTGAGTTGAAGGAAAATCTGGTTGAACAAGGAACTGCTAGTTCCCATAACAAAGCCTAGGTTGTCAAATCCAGCAACGCAGCCCTGGTCCTGGGCAAGCGAACCCTCGCTGAAGTTGGAACCAATGTACTTCAGTGGAGCAAAGCCGTAGGTCGTAGGGTCAAAGGAACCCATTTCGAAAGGGTTGAACTCGAAGTTGGTAGCGTTCAGGGAGACAATCAGGTCTCCGGGCGAACGCTCGTCCGCCACAAGAATAGGCATTGGTGCATTTCCGGTTGAGAAGTCTTGGTCGTCCGCAATGGAAGAGAAGGTGTAGGCTGGGGCTCCGTCACTGGCGTTGATGAGCTGGAAAGAGAGACCGCGACCGTAAACATCCGTGATTGACGTGTTGAAGTCACCAGCAGTTGAGTCAGCCTTGGCCCTAGTCGTGCTGACCAGGTTCTCAAAGTACTGCGCAGTCGAGAGTAGTTGAATTCCTTCCGTAGGGGGGCCTTTGAAAAGCGAGTTCTGGAATTGCCAAATCGACGAGTCCTCGCCTTTGTTGATAATGGACTCAACTGAGGTAAAGTTGTTGGCGTAGATGCTGCCGAGCATCCAGCCTCCACCAGATAGCGCCGAAACATAGGTGGCTGCCTGCAATATTCCTCCCAAATGTCCCGAACCTGTCGAGTTGTTTGTCCGGCTATCAAACGCTGCCAGAGCACCTGCACCGTTCAAAAGGGCTCGGTATCCTCCACCAGAGAACGAGATCGCAATGTTCGGTAAGGCGGTGGTGTTGTCCTGGTGGTTGCTGATATATTGTCCAACGTCGAAGCCCTCAATGTTGACCCGTTCCAGAAACTCGCGCATAGGCTGCACTGTGTTTGGCCTTCTCTTTTGGAGCCAGTCTGTCTCTCGCTGTGAAAGCTTGTCGGCGGATCGAATACTTGGGCGCGTAGACGGGCAATCGACTTTGGCTGGCGCATAGCCATCAGGTGCCTGAGGCGAGGCACGCTTCCACGTATCTAGCGCATTGGGCGGGACGACTCTGGCTTCTCGAGGTACAAGGGCGGATGCTGTCATGGGTCAGATTTGTCCCTGCAGGAACCCGAGGCGCATCACTCACAGCTCGCTAAGCTAGTCAATGCCGAAGCAGACAGAACAGACGTATACTTCATCCTAACGAATGGATGCAAGGAAAGAAAATGTAAGAGGGCTGGAAAGGCGCGAAATGAATCGCCAACAAATGCGGAAACATGGCAATGTTAAATGATGGGATCAATGCTGACGGGAGGCTGCGGAATGACCCACAGGCGGCTATGCTTCGCACCAAACGCCCGGAAGAGCTAGGAGGATCTGACCTCATAGGCGTGCCACTAGGCGTGCCACTTGTCGTGGCTGAAGGCCCTGACGATCCAAACTTTATTTTTAGTCCTGTCTTTTGTATCGATGTTTTGGCCTGTCTGTCTTACAATGCGGTGTCGTGTGCTCGCGTGAGCCACACTGTCTTGAGCCATCAGCGACCATCCACAATGCTTATTCGTCTGTAGCACATGTCACACCGTCTTTATGCTTAGCTCTCATCTCAGCGCTCAGGGCACCATTGTGGCGCGTCATCTCCTGTGAGTGGTTGGAGCTCATTTCAAAACAATACGGCTTCGGCACTCGGCAACATGCCGTAACGGGAACGAGAACGAAAACGAGGGGTATACGAAAAAGAACCTTGATACGGACCCTGTCGTTCTGGCATTAAGTGTGTTACTTTCTTCATGTTTGAGATCTGGAAACCAGTGTTTGGCGCAAAGCAACCCTATCGTTGCCTTGTTGTTATGCGCTCGAAAATGTCGTCATCGTCGCTCTGGCATCGATCGCACGTATCGCTGTGCAAAGCGCGTCGCGTCGTCGTTGTTAGGCAGCCCACCAGGGTTCGATATGATTGATCGGGACGTTAGACGTTACCCTTAGGCCCTTCATTTCTTCAACAAAGCGTGTACGCCAGGCGCAGGTAGCCTCGCAAGTAGTTCTGTTCCGAGCTTCCGAACTCCGCCATGACGATCAGCGGGAGACACATAATGTTGCGGCGGTGCGCGCTACTAGACAGAATATGATAGCGTATTGTGCTAGCCGGATGGATGTATGGAGATAGCTGCGTTGACGTGGCCTGCAGTGAGTGTTGACAGAGCGTAACCATATACGAGGTACGAGAGTACTTTTTCGGCAATCGTGGTCCGCGGCTTCCTTCCAGATCGCCTCCACAGCAATTTCATCCTACGATGTTGAGTGCATTATTTCCGCCTTGCAAGTCCGCTCCTCGTCCGACTATCCGCACACTATATTACTTAGTTCAATCGCCATCGTTTATCCCACAGCCCCCATGAGCTGGTAACGGGTGGCTGAAGATCCGCTGCCGGGCACCAACTTAAACTTACTCGGTCAAGGCCAGTGTGAAATGGATCTTGATTCGTGCGTACTTACATACCTAACTGAGGACCACGAAGGATACGATTTCACAGCCAGAATCATACAACTTCTGGACTGCGTCATCGCATGTTTGTCTCTGTAATATCTAATTCTTCACCCTCCGACCATCCGTCTCATTATGTCATATGCAATAGCGCTCTTTAAGTTTCATATATGGTGGCTTTCAGTGGCTTTCAATGCTAGATTCTGATCTCAGCAGCTGCAGGGACAGTGCATGCCGTCAAGATGCCTTGGTCAATCTCTAGAGAAGGTGACTTTATCCCATTACATCCATGTCTCACGATATCTACTGGCGGTTATCGCTATTGTAAGGTTTGGTCGCTCAAACCCTGTCATAGACCCATTTTATACTCTCTTCGTTCCATTTATCTCACAGTTCTGTAGTAGTCTCGCTGATGTACACGGTCATCTCGCGCCTATCCTGTAGGTTCCGCTCGGTGTTGGAAAAGTATCTCTTTCTGCACCTTTTCGGAACTCGGCCTTCAAGCAGCTCAAACATTCCTCTCTATTTCTGAGTACAATCGTTATGTTTTGGGAAGTTCAGGTGAGAGCGCTCGTCCACTGAAAGTTACGATACCAGCGCATCGTCTATGCCTGTCCTCCAGATCTCTTGTTCTTGCCTAGAGAAAGCTTTGACAGCTTGTGTCGGAGACTCTTCCAGCCTCCCTTTCCTTCATCTCCGTCTTTATCGTCCTTCTTCTTAGGTTCCTTCACGACTGGCATAGCAGCCTTGGGGGGTGGGGCGGGCTTGGGGACGTAGACAAACTCAATCGCGACCGTGAACTTGTAAGAGCGGTTTAGAACATCGAGAGCTTTTCCTTCGAGCCAGCAGGTTCTCCACAGGTTGCACTGGAAGCCGCTAAGGTCTCGCTGCTGCTGTCCGAACTCTTTACTGTGTAGCAGGTCGGGCCAGGCCTGCAAAGGTAAAGAAACCAAGTCAGTATATGTCTCAATTGTATTTCGTATAGCCACAACTTACTTCGCTCTCATTCCCGACAGTCTCACGAAGACGCGCCCACGCATCGTTTGGAGTCCAGAAACTACCCTTGGATGACCCGCTTGTCCTCAGACTCTCCACTCTTGACGAGAAAGTGGCGCCTTCGCGCTCAGGAACCATCGCCCAGGTCAAAGACTGCGGTGCCGGGGTGGTGGCGTCGAACCCGAACAGTGCTACACCTCTAAACGGTCGTCCTTGAGAGGTCCAAGCCTTGTTCATGAAGTTTATGTTGTCGCGGCTTGGGATGTTCTGGTAAATTGTTCCTTGGAACGCGGCCCAGAGGAAGGCGCGGAGCGGACTGAAGGCGGTATAGGCTACTCCAACACCGGGAGGATTCATTTGACATCCATTACTCGCGGGATGCAGGTTGAGAGCCGAGTTCTCCCAACTGTCTGGCCATTGTTGGGCCCCTTCTTTGAAATGTGCGGTGGTACCGTGGAACACGTTGGGCCCGCCAGACTCGTCAGGTTTGGCATTTTTTGCCAGGCCAAAGATTTCTTCCAACTTCCTCAACGTTGCGTTGTAACGGGGATCAACGACAGTTTCGTTATTCCTCCAAGCCGACAATATACTAGCTCCCCTCAAAGTTACCTGAGTAACTTTCGGTTTCTGTGTGTGCTCATCCGCGCCGTCGAAGCCGGGGATGGGTTTCTCGTGCGTGGGAGGAGGGGTTGAGCGTGCAGTCGAGTGTCCAGTGGATGCATACGTTGTCGATGAGGTTATGGAGGTCGGTGGTTGTGTGTGCGTGGATGTGATGACCGTCTCGACAAAGTGAAGGAACCACTGACCAAAAGTAACCTCACTGAGATGAGCTTCGGCCAAATCGCTCTCACAAATGTAGTTGAAGTAAGCGATGTTGTCCGCAATCTGTTCCTTTGCGGTGCGACTGAGGATCGGCTCCATGACAGACAAAAAATGCTGTACAGAGGTTGGTGAGGTGAGGTCAAGGTTGGTCTTCGATAGCCTCTGTGCGCATTCTTTGACCACCCAGTAGAAGCTTCGCTCTTCTCTGTATACCTTCATTGAAAGAATGCTCTTGGTGAGCGGCGGAGAGAACAGGCTGTTGAGTAGTTCCAGCTCAGGCATTTGCCAGTTCAGCCGGTGCGCCATGGTCCCGTTGGTGCTATAAGCTCAGATTAGCACGTGCTGTTTCGCAATAAACTCTAAACTTACTTCGTGTCTCTCGTGGGGTAAAGAGATGCGAAGGTGTGAGGTGATAAAGAGAAGGTCCTCTGTGGTAGTAGAGGTTTTTGTAATTACAATAGCGCAGGTGAAGGCACGGACTGTGGGCGCAAACGGGCGGTAATTCGGTAGCGATGAGTGAACATCGGATCGGGTGCAAAAGTAGTATGGGGTGATTACGAGTTCGACTGAAGGCGGTGCAGCAATGGCCTGTACAAGAGGTGCGTGACTGCTGAGAAGGCGGTCTAGCGTATCCAGCTTGTTGAGAGGGCTTGAGAGTGTCTGTACCTAGCCATAAGGCACTGGACTCATTGGTTTATTATATCGAACACACGAAGCATTACCAAGATGGGTTTATGTATTCGAGCTAACTACTCATTCCAAACTCATTTACACAACTCAGATACCACCCTTTAGGTAGTAGTCTAGAGGGTATCCTAGCCAGTCACATTGCTCCACATCTTGGAAGCCGGCACTCTTACTAGGCCAGTCCAATAATCTGATCTCGTCACCTGTCTTTCTTGTTGCATCTACCTGTCCCCACTGTCCGTACTTCTTCACACCCTCGATCACCTTGTCGTATCCTCTTACGTCGAGGTACTTGAGACTAGGGTTCGGATCGCCGCCCCTAATGAAAGCAGCGAAGTAGCTGGTGACGAGCTGAGCACTCCACAGATCCTCTGGGTCGCGAATACGGTTCAAAGTGCCAAACAGCCAAGGCATATCTGCACCATGGAAACGGAAGTAAGGGTTCTTGGGATCATCGTTGGCAGGCCCACCTAGGTTGTTGGGATCGTAGCCATCGATGGAGCGTTGGAACTGATAGTAGTATGCTTTCTGGAAGGCATGCGATTGCACTCCAGAATAAACGGTGGATTGGTCGACGCAACGGAATGTCTTGTCTGTGGCAACCCGCTGAGAGACGTTGAATGAGTCGAGTGTCAGATTGCCGGTGTTGGTCAAGGGGAAAAGACCCGACTGGATGATACGCTCTGCCCATGTGCTGTTGATACCAAGCGCTTCTTGTAATCCTTGAGAGTGGTTTGAGATGGGGCTCTTGGGGTATGTGGAGAAGGAAGCACCGTCGTTGACGATGATACCAAAGATGACAGGGATATGCGCAGTACTGGCGTTACGGGTGGAGAGGATGAGATTGGGCGTGTTTACATAGGTACCGTCTTGGACAACATAACGAGCAACAGTGTTGAAGCCAACTAGCTGTGCAGCGGGAACTTTATCGAGACAAGCAATCTGAGCTGACACATCAGTGCCATTGCAGCCGGCAGCAGCGAATATCTGAGGTCCGGCGACAGTGTAGCTCTGATTGATCGTGTAGTAGGTCGAGTATGTTGTTCCATAGTCGCCGTCCAAACCAAGAGTCACACCTCCTCCAAGATTAGACATGGCAATTGCGCCTTGGTATTTTCCAATAGCTTCGGGAGATCCCAATAGTGTGCGGACTGAGCCAGCTCCAGCAGACTCTCCAGCAATAGTAATCTTCTTTGGGTCACCACCAAAGGCAGCAATGTTTGCGATGGTCCAGTCCAGTGCTGTGATCTGGTCAGCAATTCCAAAGTTGCCCTTGATGTCCGTTCCAGGAATGGCCAGGAAGCCAAGCGTTGAAAGACGGTAGTTGATGTTGACAACGACGAGGTCTTCCTTGCTTGCAAGGTTTCCACCATCAGAGAGTGCGTCGGCACCGCTTCCTCCAGTAAAGCCGCCACCATGGATCCAGAATAAGACGGGCCGGAGTTGCTTTTTCGATCCTGCCTTGGGGATGTATGGTGTTTGGATGTTCAGGAAAAGACAGTCCTCGCTTCCACCACCACCCTGGGCACATTGCGAGCCGTACTTGGTAGCTTGTATCGTCTGCCCCTTTTTGGAGTAAAGCGACGAGTATTGGAAACGTGTAGGTGTATCGGCATACGGGATGCCAAGGAACCTGAAGGACTTCTGGTTGCGATAGCCGACAAAAGTATTTCCACCAGATGCTACCGAGACAGTGCTGCCAGTGACAGGCCCAGCGCTCGACGACCCGTTGTTTGCCGACTGGGTGCACAACACTGGCAATTGCTTGTGAGATCCCGAAGAGGACGAGTAGCTTACTCGGTTGCCAACTGATACCACACCGCTATCGATGTAGTACCCTCGCTCGGCATCCGTGTATTTGGCGTAATCTTGGTAGGAAAGAGCGTCGTTGAAGTCTGCCTGGTACTTCTGAAGCGTAGCCTTGGAAATAAGCTTCTCATTGAGAGAGGCGCAAGCTGCAGCTGCGTTGGCTTGAGCGACTGGGTCGAGGATAATGGCACCGATGTGGTTCTTGTCGTCCGACCCGTTCAGGTTGTTCTGGTAGATGAGTGTCAAAGACGACTTCGCATTTGACACACTGACGGCTGGTGTTGAATCCGATACTGGTGATGCCTGTGAAACAGCAACCATGCCAGCCGCCGCCGCAGCAACAAATGTGGTAAAGACCGTCATTCTGAATGTCCAGCTTGGTGGAGAGATCTGATCGACAGCTGATGAAGGATCATCGTTCTTTTCCATCTTCTTATACTGCGCCGGTAACCCGGATGGCGTCGTTCTTGCAGATGAACAACCGTGACGCTAGCCACAAGCGGTTATTCTCCACATGAGGCTATTGGAAATAAGCATTTGAGAGCGGGCTATCCCCCGGAAAACGATGAGTAGATCGATGGCTAGGCAGGGGCACTGGCAGAATGCTGGTGCAGTGCAGTACGGCAGTGGTCCTATATCCACAAAAGAGTGCTAAAACTCACGGTACCTGCAGCAAAGGCCTGTGTACAACATATGCGTCCTATGTGCATTCTTTGACAAGTTCTTGACACCTCAGTCGATACTGCTCTCTGGAGTCGACGAATAGTTTGCACTGCAGTTCTACCATATCTAAAAGCGCGGCATCAAAACAGTGGTTTTGGCATTGCCATCCGAGGTCGACTCCGATGTAATTTAGCCGTTTAGCCACCATGCGCAGTAGCCCGCGGTCCTCGTGGCGATGGCATCATGGATACTAGATGGTGCAGGGGTCAATGTGGAGATTGTTTACATCCGTTCGCGGAGTGTGGCTTGAAATGAGGAGCGGAGAAGTGGAAGCTGGAAACTTGATGGGGCCCCGGAGTTGAAGACGTGCAAATCAGTGCTAACCCAGTTGGGCATCGTCTGCAGATTCCCCTCACGAACCTGGCATTCTTGACCCTTCGGATGTTACCATCAACTCCATGTTTACTCAAGACAATGGCGATTACACCCGTAAGATGCTCGCATTCATATGTTTTCCTATTCACCAATCCTTCCAAGTTCACAAATGCCTGGTATCGCAGAAACAGTGCTCTCGATGGACATTACTGGCATGGCGTCATCCAATTGGAGGATTAATGTGATGCTCTCCATCTTGGCAAGTACAATACTGTCTTGAGCACAGTACCAACTACGACAGACCATATTGTCGCCTTGGTGAGTAGAAGAGTCTTTGGATAGACGCCGAAAAGTCAGGACCTGGCAGCAACTTTCTCTGGCTAGCAAGTCAATTGCTAGCGCATGCTCGCACGATGCACCGAATCGTAGCAACATACAGGGACAAGCATTGAGGTGGGTCGTGGTAGGCAAGATAGATTGGCAGGCGTCATTGCACAGCATATGCATGTCAGGGTCCCAAGGAGGCATATAGGAACCTTATGTTCTACCATATCCCCCTCTAGATTTCTCTATCGGCTCAGCTTTTGTCGTCGCTACAGGATGCAGCTTAAGCTCCTACTCCTCACGCAATTAGTTGCGACCGCATTGTGCGCAAACACAGCACCACCCAGCATCTGGAACTATACATATCCATGGCCGGTACACTACTTTAGTTTCACATCGCAACGCGCGAACCTCTCAATGGCATATATGGACGTACGTTCCCAGAATACCACCTCGAACAAGACCATTGTGCTTCTACACGGCAAGAACTTTTGTGGCGCAACGTGGGAGGATACTGCCCATCGCCTTTCAGCACAAGGATATCGTGTCATCATCCCAGATCAAATCGGATTTTGCAAGTCACCGAAGCCGTCTGCCTACCAGTTCTCGCTGCAGCAGTTGGCGCGCAATACACATCTACTATTGCAGAGTCTAGACATAGAATCAACACATGTACTGGGTCACTCTATGGGCGGTATGTTAGCCACTCGATTTGCCCTGATGTATCCGGAGCAGACATCACATCTTATTCTTACGAACCCAATCGGACTGGAAGACTGGAAGGCCCTTGGGGTACCTTGGCGCAACCTCGACGCCCTGTACAAAGATGAGCTTGCCACCAACTACACATCCATCCGCAAATACCAGCAAGCTACCTACTACGTCAACACCTGGAAGCCGGAGTATGACGTCTGGGTCAATATGCTAGTCTCGCTCTACCAAACGTCACCTGAAAACATTGATTTCGCATGGAACATGGCGCAGACGACTGACATGGTTTTGACTCAACCGATCGCCTACGAATTCGAATTGGTGCAGCCCAAAACCCTCCTCCTGATCGGAACCAAGGACACAACAGCCATAGGAAAAGCTTGGAGCCCAGCGGATGTGCAGGCTAAGCTGGGGAAATACGACGTGCTGGGCAAAGAGACGGCGGCGAGGATTCCAGACGCGACATTGATTGAATTTGACGACTTGGGCCATAGTCCGCAAGTGCAGGATAGTGAAAGATACCATGCCGCGCTATTGGGGTGGTTAAACGGGTCTAATTAGGCTTGATCAGGCGCCTCTGTATGTTGATTAAAGGCGAACAAAAACACCGACCGTCAGGGTACATAACGACTCACTTCCTGAACGGGTAGGTAGATATGCAAGATATATACATCACTGGAGCTTTCAGATCTTACTAAATAGTATGAATAGCAAGATCTGAACCATCGCTGTTGCTACGAGTCGTTTCTTGAGCATCGTATTAATTGCACTATTCGTAGTTCTCCGCCATAGTGTGTTTATAAGGAACTAATCCTTCCTGTCGACGACAATGCTCCTCTTGTAGACCTTGTTTCCACGATCCATGTAGTCAAAGACGAAAGGACCCCAGGTCACAGTTCTCACATTTCCTACGAGCCTCCGAGCTAAAGCTTCCATCTGGTCGAACCTGGCCGCATCGACGACCGATTCGGCACCATCACAGTCAGTGGGAATGGAGATAATAACCTTTCGAAACCTGCCGTCCCACTTCTCAGTATCCAAATCCCTGATGATCCAAGCGTAAAGGCTATTTCTCCACAAAAATTGCAGATGTGGATAATATCTAGTCGCCCGTTCACATTCCAATCTCAGCTCTAATTCCTTGGTATCCAGGCGATCGACAAATTCTAGAAAGGCTGATTGTTTCCACAAATCGAAGTTTTTCTCCGCGCGAATAGTGACGTTACGAATCACATCGCTATTGAAGACGAGGGGAGTCTGGCAACCGCTGTATTCCCACTTGAGCACAAGGCGTTTTGGGTATCGGGGAATTCGACACAAATCGGCCCGAGTGAAGGTTTGCACGCTGCCAAAATATGAGAGCGCTTCCGAACAAATTTGTTTGTTAGTCAGAAGCCAAAGTGGAAGGCCTCGGGTGTAAGCCGGTCGGGTTTTGGGGTAGTGGATGGCGATATCTTTGTCAGGACCACTCTTTTCGGACTTTCGACCTTTGGGCCTTGCCTCCAGAATTAGATCAGGAGGTGTAAAGATAGTGATCTCTGAGCCGAACGCGTAGTCGTAGATGCGGTCGCGAAGTTCCCTTGGCAAGAGAAGGAAGGGGGATGTCCGAGTCGGCTCGCAGGCCTGCGCATCATGGGCTGTTTGCCGGGCTTTTCTGGAAGTCCTTGAGGCTTTCTTCCTCATGTACCTGTAGGTAGGTAGGAATACCTTCATGGGCGGTAGTCGGAAGCAAAACCTCATCTTGGCAAGGGTCTGGATTGAGTGTAGGACGAAACGAAGGATTTGAAGGATAGGTATAAAGAATCAGTCAGATTTAGCAAAAGTTTTGCAACAGAGTTCTCCAAGACGTGAATGCAAACGGGCGGCGGGGTAGAACTCACTTTCACTTTGGCAGGGATATCGGAAGCCTCCACTATACGGAGGTTAAGTCCACGCGTGTGAAGCCAGTGACGTACGTTGTTTCGCAAGAAAAGAAAGACAGAAGAGTGAACGACCGACAAGCAAAAAAAAGTTATGTGATTCAAAAAGAAGACTGCGACTCAATTCGAACTCAAAGCAAAAATAGATTGCCTTTATCGACCCGATACGATACGTGACTGGATCACACCCTGCACGACAGGGTAGACATGCACGAAGACGTACGCTACCGGATCTTCCAGTTCTCTATATGAAATATGAAATATGAAATATGAAATAGCATCAAATTGATGGATATATGTACTAAACTATAATGTCTTTGGTTTAGAGAGGTGAGAGCGTTTGAGTTTGTGACTACGCGATTAGGGACATGCAAACGATGCCCGCATGACCACCATTGTTGGATCGGTAGATGTAAGAGGAGAAGTGAATCAGTGACGCGTATTGAGATGCAAATTGAGCAACACTTTATCTTGCGTTGTGTTTATGCTCGAACATCATGCAGTGTAGGAAGTCCTTTGATAAGTATAAAATTGTCATTATGCATTCAGCTATATAGTCAGAATTCAAGTGTACCTAGATAGCCTTCTCAGAAGTATTAAGTAGCTGCCGACATATCATAGTAGACCCGGAAGGTATCTAACGATTTAGCATGTATCACTCTAACCTCCCTAATACCACTGAGACCCTCCAGGCTCTATCACCGACTCACTCCACGTAATCAGAATCATCCTTGTCGTCATCGCTGTCCATGTGATTATCCGGCAACAAGGTCTTCTCGAGGCGTCCTGCGAGCATGCCCATAGCCTTGCCCTTGCCCTTACCAGGATAAGCCGCGTCAGCAGCGTCTTCGCCCATGTACTCGATATCATTGTTGTAGCGCGCGGTCGCTGCCTCACCCTTCTTGCCTGCCTTGTATGATTTGCTGCGATCGAAGCGCTTGCTGATGGTGTTGTTGTCCTTCGTGGTTTTCCAAGTGGAACCAATGGCGCCGGCGGCTTCGTAAAGGGTTTGGATAGCGTCCAGCACATCCTGTACCTGAATATGTTTGAGCTCGGATGGCCCGCCAGATTCGATGCGGGCTTTAGTGGCGGCGAGGAGGAAACCTTCACCTAAGTAGTGCTGACCAGGTAAGGCCTTGCTGAAGATGTCAATCATGGCCAAACACCTCAAGTCATTGGTAAGGTCCTTGGTCTTCTCGGTGGTGCGGACGCGCCAGTTATTGCTGATATCGTCTAGAGTCTTGCTTGCGGAGTAAGTCCGCTTCAACATGGTATCAGAAACCTTGTTCAGCGCGGCGACAAGTTCCATGACCTCGGAGTGGGGAAGAACAATGCGACAAATGTTCTTTCTGGCGACACTATCGCAGCGGCGGAGTTTCTCCATGTGGATACGCTTCTCTGCTGGCTTGGTTTTCTAGAAGTTACTAGTCAATAAGA